CTCGCTGTGGCGCAACCTTAACCTGCAGTCCGCGCGCGGTCCGCACGCAGTCCGCGCGGACACAGCGACACAGATTACAATGCGCCCCAAAAGGGACCGACCTCGTAGAGGTCACGGACAACATAAGACAACACTGAAAAAGCGAACCCATCAGCTTTGTGCTCATGTGCTCATGTACTCTTTCTCTTTAGTCTTTTTCCAGTGCAGTCTGGATTTAGATTAGAAGTTTACTAGTTTTTTTTAGTGCATGCTAGCCTATTAAAAGTTTTAGAAAAAAGTATGCACATGCAGACGCCGCTACGAGGCCTGATCTGAGTCATGGCAAGCTACGAGACGAAGCAGAGAGTTGTAAAATACCACTCTCTGAGGTGAAGGCAGCGCCGCGCACCAACCCATATGCGCAAGTTCCAAGAGTCCATGACCCTGATGACCTGGGGCCCCAGGTTATCATCCGGGACTTTTGCGCAGAACCATGAATGAATGGCATGATAACCAGATAACCATGATAACCGCAGTGTAGTCTGTAGAGTGCATGCAGTCGATCGAAGAGTATGATTCTATAAATGGACTCTCGCTCAAAGTCAAACCAACACCGGAATTTTTACAACTGCTTTGTTTTTTTGTAGGTGTGTAGCTATTTTCCTCCCAAACTGTTCCCAACGAAGATTAGCCCGGTCGCAATGATGGAGAAAGTTTTGGTGACTGGTGCAAGTGGGTATATCGCCTCTCACATTGTCCACCAGTTGCTCAGCGCTCGCAATGAAGATGGCTCTCCGCGGTACGAGGTGCGGGGCACAGTCCGCATCTCGTCACTGGAGAAGAAGATGCCACTCCTGATGGAGATGGCGGGCAAAATTGACGATGGTGCAGCGGCGCGCCTGGAAGTGGTCGGTGCCGATCTGCACTCGGACGAAGGCTGGCAGAGGTATGCCCTTGTGTTATGTCCTTGTGTTATGTCCTTGTTGTAACGGAATTGTAGACGTGTGCGTGTAGTCTGTGTACGTGTGAACCGGTCTTGTTGCGAGGTTCTGCTCCACGTGAAATGTAGAGAATTAGAAATCACGTAGATCGAGAACAGGTGCACGTGTCTGAGTGTACGGCTTCGCGTGTTTTGGGTCCAGATTTCTACGTGAGAGACCCCTAAATTTGGAACGGTAAAGCCCCAGTACACATTCCACGTGATTTCTTGACGTGAATTTAGAGCAGAACGGGTTTTCTGTACACGCACATGACGGGAACGCGAAGAGAGTTCCCGGGGATCCCCGGGATTCTCCTCGTCGCTTTCCCGGTGACGTAGAGCATCACAGGTTCACTAATTCAGTCAAACCCTGGAAAGACGTACCGACAAGGGAACACGGAAAAAAGTACTTCCTAGCCGAAGTGCTTACTACCACACCCACACTGTGCCGATTTTTCGTCAACTGCGAAAAGTACATACTACGCAGTACCAACAAACACGTGTAATACTCAGTGTGATTTGCGACTGCTGTCATTGTGCCGTCGCACCATGCATGTACCATGCACGGGAATGGAACACGGATGAGTCGTTTTATTATGACAACCTGCACTGGCTATTGACAGCAGGGAGTAGTAAAATACAGGGAGGTGACACGAGCATGTACGGCCAGTTTGACGATTGCCTCAGCACCGTTTTCACCCGGCGGGTGAGATTGGGGTACTATGGGTACCGAAGTGTGTAGACACGCGCGCGGATCAGGATTCTCTTGATTAGGGAGTAGTAAAATACCTACCGCCAAAGGGACTCATACTGCAGCCCGTAGAAACTCAGCGCTGAGAATTTCCAACAATTGTCTGCCTTCACAAAGTTTGGTAGTCGACCAAACTACCACTATGTCAGGATAGAAGTCCGGCAAGAGTGGTATTACTTTGGGAGATATCCCTGCGTGCCGTAGATTTTTCCTGTATCGATACAAGCTGTTTACGACGACGTAGCCCGCATTTCAGTCCTTGACAAACTTAGGAACATTTCATTCCGAAAAGTGAACTCCCGAATCTCTAGCATACCATAATATGAAATGCTCATCATCACAAAGAAGGTAGAGAAGTACTGGTTGATCACAACTGAGGAGAAATTAGTGCCGATCATGTGGTGTCCTAGAGATTTTTTCGACTTCGAAATCGGTGCACTCGCTTTTCCATCTCCAATCGTACACGTATTGTTCTCAAGGAAATCACCTTCGTTCTATTGCTCCATGCCGTCGATCGGGACGAATTTCGGAAGGGTGGTACCTTTCCATATGACGATGACGCAGATGTATCAAAAGAGCAAAACAAATGCTGTTCCATGAGATGGATAGACCTTTTCCCGGAATTAGTTCTTCAACAAATACTCAAGATTGATTCAGCAGATCATCTTTTTTTGCGAAAGAAAAAAAAACAAGCGCGAGGCACCCATCAAAAATCACGATTAGTGGCGTGTCACCTCCCTGTATTTTACTACTCCCTGATTGACAGTAGTGGGTCTTACCCTGTGTACGTAGCC